GTACTCTCCCCTGCTGACATCAAAGGTATTTGTCGACCACCCAGCTATGCCTCCTGGGATGAGGTTTACCTGGGTGGTCAACAAATACCTTTGATGTCGGCAGGGGAGTGTCCAGACTATCGCGCTGAGCCGACAAACAGCTGATCAGCTGTTTGTTGGCTCAGCACGGCAGCCATGTAAATTTAAATGAAGCGGCGATTATTTAAATCGCCGCTTCATTTTACTATGTCCGGTACCCTAATCTACATGCCTCTGGCGACAGAGGCATGTAGTCTAGACGTACCCTTAGACAAGGGGAAATTCTTACTCCATTGTCCATTTTATGGGATTTAGACTTGAGGTAGCTTGAACCAATGCTAGAAAACTTTCACTGAAATTGGATGCTTTGGCTCAGAACCTTCCTTGTGAAAGGGAATAAACATAGACTCTAACAACAAAAGGTCAGAGCATTTTGTTGATGCGACAAGATACAAGCTGTGTACTTAATGACAGGCTTCTATGCCACAATAAAGCACTACAGAGAAGTAGATTGCAGTTTATGCCTGAGACAATTCAGTTGTGTTTATACAGAAGAATCAACAGTGTAGAAATAAAATGGATCTGAAACCTCTTGACACCCAGCGCAAGTTGAAACTTAGTACCTCATTAAAATATTGTGGTTTTCCTTGTTACCAGTACCTCTGCCAGTATCATAGATATCGGGCAGAAATTGTGTGATCAATCATGCAATCCAGTCTTTTTTTAAGTCTTTCTTATCAGCAGTATTGAATGATCACTGACCACAGTTAATAAGCTTATTACCAAAGTTTAGCATGTCACGATTACGGATATTAAATTGTGTATGATTATTTTTCAGAGCCAGTTTACTAGTAACTAATATACAAAATCGGGGTAAAACCTCTTCTGCAAATAAAATCACAGTTGAGACAGTGCTTCTATGACCCAAGTAGAAGCTCTTTGCATGGATTAACTCAAACATCCTTGCACTAAACCCTTTCTAGAAAAAGCATTGAGTTCATTTCCAAGATATTCATAAACCCTACTGCCATAATAGACTAGTACCTTTCAGTCTCTTACCATGAGCATAGCAAATGGAAATTGAACTTGTGTATGTTTAAGCAATTTAATTAAACTTGATGACATGCACATTGTTTTGTTGTTTCATGGCTCCTAATTTGAATTAAGTAAGAATAATCCAAGATTCAGCATTGTCAACATAAATAAGTATGAGTTAATGATACAGCATTGTACAGAACATATCAATAGGAGGTCATTGCAGTTGTAGAAATGTGAAATTTTTAAGAACATAGGAATGGCCATACTGGTCCATCTAGCCCAGTATCCTGTCTTCCGACAGTGGCCAATACTAGGTGCCCCCAAAGGAATGAACAGAACAAGTAATCATCAACCGATCCTGTCACCCATTGCCAGCCTCTGACAAACAGAAGCTAGGGACAGTATTCCAGAACATGCTGGCTAATGGCCATTGATGGACCTATTCTCCATGAATTTATTTAGTTATCTTTTTGAACCCTTTTAAAGTCCTGGCCTTCACAACATCATCTGACAAAGAGTTCCATAGATTGACTGTGTGTGTAGCATGAAGACGTATTTCCTTTTGTTTGTTTAAAGCCTGCTACCTATTAATTTCATTTGGTGACCTCTAGTTCTTATGGGAACAGGTAAATAACTTTTCCTTATTTGCTTTTTCCACACCAGTCATGATTTTATAGATCTCTATCATATCCCCCCTTAGTCTCCTTTTTTCTATGCTGAAAAGTCCCAATCTTTTTAATCTCTATTCACATGAGACCTGTTCCAAACCTGTGATCATTTTGTTGTCTTTTTCTGAGCTTTTTCCAATGCTAAGTGTCTATCTAAAATGGCTTTCATTGTACCTGTCTTATTATATCACCGTCTATAAATGACCTCAAGTATCAGAGCGGTAGCCGTGTTAGTCTGAATCTGCAAAAGCGATGAGGAGTCCTGTGGCACCTTATAGACTAACTGAAGTGTAGGAGCATAAGCTTTCGTGGGCAAAGACCCACTTCTGCATGTAGTGGAAATTTCCAGAGGCAGGAATAAATATGCAGGACAGGATCAGGCTGGAGATGACGAGGTGGATCCAATCAAGGAGGATGAGGCCCACTTCTAGCAGCTGATCTGGAGGTGTGGATTCCAAGAGTATATAGCAATGTGCCAACAATGTGCCAACAATGCCCCACTGCTATATACATCGGCCAAACAGGACAGTCCCTACGTAAAAGAATCAATGGACACAAATCTGATATTAGGAATGGCAACATACAAAAACCTGTAGGGGAACACTTCAATCTTCCTGGACACACAATTGCAGATCTAAAAGTAGCCATCCTGCAGCAAAAAAACTTCAGGACCAGACTTCAAAGAGAAACTGCTGAGCTACAGTTCATCTTTAAGTTTGACACAATCAACTCTGGATTAAACAAAGACTGTGAATGGCTTGCTAACTACAAAAGCAGCTTCTATTCTCTTGGAATTCACACCTCCAGATCAGCTGCTAGAAGTGGGCCTCATCCTCCTTGATTGGATCCACCTGGTCATCTCCAGCCTGATCCTGGCCTGCATATTTATTCCTGCCTCTGGAAATTTCCACTACATGCATCTGACGAAGTGGGTCTTTGCCCACGAAAGCTTATGCTCCTACACTTCAGTTAGTCTATAAGGTGCCACAGGACTCCTCATCACTTTTATAAATGACCTGTTTCTCTCACACCAAAACTATATGGACAGCTCCAACAGTAAATCAAATTTGTAGCAAATAGCTTAATATTTTCTGCCATTTGAGCAGTTATCTACAGAGCCTTCATTGATTTTTATTCACACATTTGAAAATTTGACATTTGTCTTATCAGTATGCAGAACAAATGTGGTGAAATGTGGACACAAATGAACACTTTTCTGTTCTGGAGGCTGTTAAGCAGATTGAGTGACTGCTTCTTTGTTGCTTTAGAATAGGTCATGCTTATTCAAGGCCTTGGAGGCTTTTCAGCTGCAAAAAATATTTCAAAGATAAAAATGTTGTGAATCTTTTTTTGGGAGGAGTGAAAGGGTACAAGTTAATAAGCAGTAGTAGTCAGACAAAACTAGACAGTTGCTTCCAAAGCACTTTTGAAGGTGTGCATTTTCCCAAGCTGCACATGCATGGACACAGCATCATAGGCCTTTAAGATAGGATATGCTGTTTTTAATGTAGTTTTGGTCTAAAGAATGCAAGCGATTGATGGGGAAGAAGGGGCTCCTTTCTCACTCAGTCTCCCTAATTCTCCAAAAATGCTGAAGCAACTCTTACTCAAGCTTCCAAATTTAACATTTTGGGGGGAGATCAAGCATGGAAGATTTAAGGGGGGAATATTTTGGGAACTTACTTGTTTGTGAATAGTTGTATCTGAAATTTTAGCATGCTATTTGCATGCAGGCACAGGCACTAAAATACTGATTCAGATACATTTGATCACTGTTCTGGAGGGTGAAATACTTTCTTGCATTTCAAGAGAGATGCTCATTCATTGGGGAGGAAGGCAGAGAATCATAGATACAATAGTGACTAACTTAGACAGAACAGCCAGTTTAAGAAGCTTTGGATGCATTAGAACCTAGCTTTGTTTGCCCTCAGGACAAACCGCAAAACCTATTTGTTTTAGGGATGTATGAGCTTAACTGATTAACGATTAACCGATAAGCTGATGCTTATCGGTTTCTGTTTCAGGTTAAACTCTGCCCTTCAGGGGAGCTGGCTGCCCCATGCTGCAGGCTTTGCCAGCCCCACTCGCAGGGCACTGGCCTCACTCTGGGGGAGACGGCTGCCCTGCACTGCAGACTGTGCAGGTGCGTGTCAGCTCCTGGTGTGCAACAACATGCAACTGCCAGTCCTGCTCCCAGGAAGTTGGCTGTCCTGCACTAAGGGCTCTTCAGTACAAGCCAGCTCTGAGCACACTGGCTCCCAGCTGCCAGCCCTCCACTCTCTGGAACCAGGGCCTGGGAAAACAAGTGACTGGAAAAAAAAAGAAGTTTTAAATCAAGCACTTCGGGGAGTCCTTTGGCACAGAAGCAATTTTTGATTTTTTTAAAAATATACTAAATATTACACATGCACTTAGGTTTGAAAATAGCTAATCTTTTTTTAAAAAAACTGATTATATTTGACTGAAGAATGTACATAAATGTGTTAATTTCTTTGCAGCAATTGACAAGGTAGCTCTGTTGATAGGAAACATGAGTTATTGGAATCACCCTCAGCTGAAAGCTCCAATGGTGGATGTCTATGAATTGACCAACTTGCTGAGACAGCTGGATTTCAAAGTTGTTTCTTTGCTGGATCTTACTGAATCTGAGATGCGGAATGCAGTGGATGAATTTTTACTTCTTTTGGACAAAGGAGTTTATGGTAAGAAAGTCATGATATGACCAACTAATTTAATAAAAAAAAGAGTCATTAATACTCAGACATAAACTTAAACTTCTCTTCCAGATCATTAAGTACTGCTTGATAGTAAAGCAGACTTTACTGTAAATAACTTATACATGGAGTTGGGGGTGGGAGGGAAGTGAGTTAAACACCCACCAACACATCCTGTGGCTTTGGCTAAAAGGTACTGTTGCTTTTATTATTTGAACAGATGCAATCTTTGAGCCTCTTTTAACCACACTAAATGTATATATACTGTTCTGCTAAATATTGCTTTGTACTTTAATATTTGCTTAAAAGGTTATTATTTGCTAAAGATTGCTGCATTTATATGCTTGTTTTGGCAGTGGGTCATGCATAATACGTTTTATGATTGAATGGAAAAAACACGCGAGAGTCGGTGGTGTGTAGCGTTTTCCAGAATGCACCAGAACAGTTAGGAAGTGTAGCAAATGTAAATGCACAAACCTACTTGCAAAGGCAGGAAAGAAGCTGTGAAGAAACAATATTACTTGTAACTGGTTAGAGGTGTCTGCCATTAACTGGTTATAAAATCACAAATGAGCCTTTTGAGTCACTGTGTTGTATATATGTGCAACTTTACACTCCCTGTATTTTGTTAACTTTGTACTACAATTTAAAGAGAATGTGCAAATGGAGAAGAAGATGCAAAAAGACTGTAAGACCTAAAAATAAGTTCCTTTTCAGTGTGTTTGTTTATCTTGGGACTATGAGGTCCTGTTTTCCCTTTTTTGCTGAGGATCTCTGGAAAACCAGGAAACTGAAGGAGGGAGCTTTACAGGGTAATAATATTTTTTAATTTGTATTACAGTAATGTCTAGAAGCCTGAATCCAGCTGTTTACCCTGTTAAGCCAAGTGCTGTACGTCCTCAGACTAAAAAACAATCCCTGCCCTGAAGACTTTCAATCTAAATAAACAAGATTAGGATTGGGAAAATAAAGATTATCCAAATGTTTATAAATGGAACAGGGTGTTGAACCTTTAGCAAAGATCTTTCGTCCCAACTTTTTGTAAAGCTTTTAGATTAAATAGCTGCCAATAAAAATTCCCTCTCCATTCCCCCAGTTGTGATGGTTTTCACTTCCTTGGTACTTGTGATATTGCCCTTCTAATTTTTCAGTAGTTCTTGGTTGGGAGGAGGGCCGGGCCGGGAAATGGAAAATAAATCTGAATTTCTAATGTTGAAAAACAAGCTGATACGCTGTTTTTTTTAAAGCAACCACCACTAATAGGCTTTCTGTATACAAACAAAAAGGATATTAACTCAATTTGTTTGTCTTTATAAGTAACCTCCAGATTATAGTGGAAGAAGCAAAGAACTCTAGTGAGAAGTATGCCATGAACTCCTGATTTTGTTACTTGTATGCAACTTCAGGTGGCCTAGGGTTCATCAAATAGGATTAAATGTTAAGGTTCCAATTCAGGCAGAACTCAAAGAGAACTGTTAGTGAAAACTTCTGGTGGCGCCCCTCTCCGAATAAAAATTGCAGGATTGGCCCCTTGGAATATCTTCACAAATTGTGTAGGGTAGTGACAGGAAGAAATAAGTTAGAAATGTCAACTGAAAGCTCTTTCAGGACTGAGGTAAAAGTATACTTTGAAACACAAAATCTATTATGATGTCTCTAGATATTGACAAATCATGGATGTGCATGCTAGTTTGCAAGATGAATATTGCACATTTAGTGTCACATTGAGCTTAAATTTCTCCTTTCCCCCTTGACCGGTTTATGATGTAAGTCACATATTAACTGCATGCTAGTTTCTGGTATACTTTTTGGTCATAAAAATGTTCATTGCCCACTACCGAGATTATTGGCAAGAGATGACGATTAAGCTATACTGGCAAAATATATTAGCAGTTTTCTCAAAAGAGTGTGGCATAAGAACGTAAGGACAGCTATACTGGGTCAGACCAAAAGTCTATCTAGTGCAGTATCCTGTCTGCCGACAATGGCCAATACCAGAGGCCCCACAGGGAGGGATCACAACAGGTAATCATCAGGTGATCCCTCCACTGTCACCCACCTCCAGAGAAACAGAGGCTAGGGACACCATTCCTACCCATCCTGGCTACCAGCCATTGATTGACCTAACCTCCATGAATCTATCTAGCTCTTTTTTGAACCCTGTTAAAGTTCTAGCTTTCTCCATATCCTCTGGCAAGGAGATCCACAGGTTGACTGTCTGCTGAGTGAAGAAAAACTTCCTTTTGTTTGTTTTAAACCTGTTGCCTATTAATTTGACTTGGTGACCCCTAGTCCTTATATTGTGGGAATAAGTAAATAACGTTTCCTATTCACTTTTTCCATACCAGTCATGATTTTATAGACCTCGATCATATTCCCTCTTTAGTCTCCTCTTTTCTAAGCTGAAAAGTCCAAGTCTTTTTAATCTCACTTCCTATGGGACCCCTTCCAAATCCCTAATAGTTTTTGTTGCCCTTTTCTGAACCTTTTCCAATGCCAGTATATCTTTTTTGAGATGAGGCAACCACATCTGGAAAATAGATCCGTCTTTACTAAATCTCATCTTGATGGGGAAAGTTGAGTTACTGTTACTGCTATTTTGAAAGTGTAATCGGCCAGTTCAGCGTAAAATTTGCTTCTTTATTAGGGAACAGGCCATCCTGGAGTTTTTGATGCAGAGTATAAAGAGAGATCTGCTTCTAACTAGCTAGATTTGTATAAATGACTTTTAAAATAATTATTTAGGACAGAGGCTAGAATACTAAACTTATGAGTCCTATACGAATAGCTCTAGAATTCTTTCCCCTTACCCCTCTCCCAGGCCTGCTGACAGGGGATGCAAAAGAGGCACTTACCCTGTGGCATGGTTTTTCAAAGAACCCCAGAATTCCTGGCTGCCAACACTGCTACTGCAGCAATGGCAGCAGCTGGGTCCTTTGGGCACCTTTGAATTGCCGCAGAAGCACCATAGTGCCACTCCACGCAGCTTTGAGGGCTGGAGGGGAAGCTCAGCACCACAGTCCGGGCATCACTAAGAGCTGACTGCCCTTTGCCCCACTCCCTCTGCCTCTTCCAGGGGTGCAGAGCTGGGCCACCCTGCACCTTGCCTCCAGGCCTGTAGTGGTTGTCTGTCCCACTGCCTCCCCTAGCTAAACTCAGCCAAGAAACTGCTTAAACTGGTATTTTACTAAAACAACAGGTGCCAGGCCCACATGAAGATATTTCTTAGTGTGGTTTTCACACTCGTGTGATAACTGATGCTTGATAAATGTAGGACTGGCCAATCTGAAATTCACAATATTTCTATATCAGAGCAAAGACTCACAATCCCATTGAAATGATGGCTATAAAATTCACCAGACTTTCTAATGGTATAACTTCCATTTTCCTCTCTGTAAAATACTTATGTTGTTTCTTGTGTGTTTGGGGCTCCTGTTTAAGGCTTTCTGTTTACCTTAGCTGTTAACACAAATTTAAAAAAATTAGTGACCAGAGGCTTTGATGTAATTCATGTTGGCTCCATGTGAGAGCTCTTGCAAAGTGTGTTTTTACAATTTTAACCTTCATTTTACCATCTAGCTGATACCTGTGAAAGCCAAGCATGACATCTCCCTGAAAAGTTTAGCATAAATCTTTATAAACTACTTTATCATTTAAATTATCATTCTGGATAGTGGCTAGTAGTGTCTCAGAAGCAATATAAAATATGCTGTCAGGCCAAAATATAAATTGCTAGTGATTTATTGCATTTTAGTGGGCACAGCTCCAAACATAAGAGGCACAGCTGCTATCCCCATTTAGATCTTGTTACAGATATTCATGATGCTTACCATGACATTGTGTAATTACTGCTTGCTGCCAGGAATGTGGCATTTCAGATACTGTTCCCTAAAAGCAGAACTGATAAACAAATTGGTGATGGTAGTCTTGGTACTTTAGTTCCTCAATATATTTGTTGTTATATGCAATGCAGAATTATTGTACTTATCATATATTAATGAGATAAGAGATGTAGAAGCATATATTTTAAAAACCGAAAGTAATCTGGCTGTTTTCTTAGTAAAAACTCTTAAGATCATTTAAAATGTTGATTTCTGGGAAGATCTTCACTTCTGATCCTATTGTACTAAATAGTACAATAACTATTTGTGACCATTTTATCTTAAATACTTGTGCTGACTTCTCATCAGATAGCCTTAGCCCAGTCACTTTTCCACTGATTTTGTTACTTTTTCCTTATGGAAAACATTGTTTGTGATCATGTAATTAAAGGCTACTATTATGCATACATGCTGGGGTTTGCATCAAAGTTGCATAGGCATTTTGAGTGCTTTTTCAGCAAATCCTTCAAACAAATCCAAGTATCAAGAGATGACAAGGCAGTGGTTCCCATACTGGGATAACCCTGCATGGAGTCATGTTATCAGCAGATGGGGTTATGGCAATACCTAGTGTGCAATAGAAATCCTTTTGCTCTGCAAAGCATGACTTTACATGCATCATACATTACCACAGAATGCAGAAGTTGCCAGTTTGAAGAGTGAAATGGCATCCCCCATGGGACATGACCTCTCGTATATCATGTGTGAGAGGTCACACTGTGACTGTAGAGGACTCTCTTTTGGTCTTCAAAGTGGCATCCTCCAGGCTGTCTGGAGTCCTGGAAGGATACATTTCATCAAAATGGAGTAATGATATAAAAACTTGGGAACTTCTGCAATAAACTATTTTCCAGAAATATAAAGCTGATGAATGTGGTACATTTTATGTATGTTTTATAGAGTGTGAGGCTCAGATTGGCTCACTGGTCCTACTTTGCTGTTTGGAAATTTTGGAAACATCTGCAATGTATAGATGATGATTTACATATCATAATATAAAATTAGAGCCAGTCTTCCTTGACAGAAACCCTAATTTACTGTTTCTATATACTCATCCTGAAAAAAAAGTTCCATAAACTCCCAAAGCTTAGCTGCCATGTTTCTAGC